CCTCGGAAGGAAGACTGGGCAATCTACTTCCGTAGTGATACTGTCTGAGAAACCCAAGGAGAGGTTGCCATGAGTCGGATCTGACTCAATGGCAGTAAGTTTGGTTTGGTTTTTAAGCCTACCTATTGCTAGGCGAAAGATTCTACCCAGTTAATTAAGGAGACTAAATTAAGATTTTTGCCCAAAAATTTTATCATAAAAGTAACCTTGAGTAGTATTGTCTTTACATATGTTCTTAATAGTAAGGAGCTAGTCAAGAATTTGAAGATTCCTGGTTTGGGTCATATATTTTATCACTATTATTACTATTTTATTTTGCTACATACTTCTAATGAATTTAGTTATGAGGAAGTTATTCGTAATTGATGAAATCTGAACTGTTTAGGGAACAAATGTTTTTCCATTTTAAAATGCAAACATATTAAAGCAGGCAGAATAAAAACTATAAATGCTCAATGTCATAGATTATACTCTGGAAAATATACTTCGCAGTGAAAAGTATGGCCTTTGTTTTTATCATCAGATAGATAAATACAGAATATTAAATTGCAACTCAAAATTCAGCCTATTAGAAATGCTTGTATTGGAATATGCAGAGTAACTAAGCATAGTCACCAACTCTGTGGCATGTAGCCCTGCTTCTTAGCATGGTATCAATTACATACATTCAGAAAAAGAGGATTTAAATCCACAAGTAAATCCCATAAAGTTTAATTAAACACACGCCAAGTTTAGAGTAATAAATATGTAAGAATTTCTTATATATTTAAAAAAAAAGACTTTAAGACAAATTTTATTTTTGTGAGAATTATATATTAATTAAAAAAAATAAAATGATCTACATAATGTCAAAATCAACCTTCTACTGTCAAGGTGAAATGCATGCATTTAATTTCATTTCATTCAACAATCACTTATTAAACTCCTACAACATATAAGGGGCTTATTTTAAGGAGTGTACAACCTATTATTTGTAGAGGTGAAAGGTAGTAATAGTGGTGGCAATAAAAATGATGAGAAGCAAATTTGACACATGTACAGAAAAATCAGTAAAATTTGGCAACTGATTCATAGGTACTAAAGAAGATGAAAAAAGTTCAAGTCTTTTTAGGTTTGTGGCATGGGTAACTGAAAGGGCAGTGGAGTCAAATGGAAAAAAGGAAAGTTGGGAGCAGTAACTTACCAAAATGAACATGAATTCAGTTTTAGAACTTCAGAACATGCAAAATATGACCCAGAAGTTATTTGAAAATAAAAGGTTGAAAAATTTGCATCTAAAAATATTGATTTGGTAGTTTAATAGACAAACAATAGCTGAAACTGTGGAATGAAATAACCAAGGTAAACAGAAATGTCACAGAGGGCAGAAAAAAAAAGATGAAGTTAGCAGTTAGGAAGGACTCGGTGAATGAAGACGGGCAGTGTAAGGAAAGACAAAGGAAAAGAAAGTCAATAGAGGATGGATTAAAATCTCTAATGCTACAGAGATGCAGAAGAGAATGATGTATAAGCAGCAGCTATTACTTTATAGAAGAAGTCATTAATGAAATTAACAAAAATAATATCAAAGAGCACAAACCAGGCTGGTAAGCTGGAGAAGTAAATAGAGGTGCTAGTTACAACTCTCCTTCTGAGAAGTTTTCATCTCTTTTACAACTGAAAAAGGAAATATCCTTTTACAAGGTTTCCATCTATTATCTCCAATACCAAAATCCATAATATTTTTTAAATTTTCATGATTAATTTAGTCAAGATTATTTTCTTCAATTAACAAATACTTTACTTTAAAACATAGTGTTTATTTCAAAGACACTCATAACTTTCCACCTCAAAATCAGTGCTCCAGTTACACTGAACTCTCTCTGCTTCGCTTTTGCACATACTATTTCCTCTGTGTAAAGTGCTATTTCCCTTACTTAATCTGAAAGACTCAGCTGAAAAGCATCTATATTTAAGCCATCCCTGATACAGTTCTTCCTCTGTGTTCTCAGTGCAAGTTTATAGTTTACCAGCACTTCTCACATTGTAATTATTTGTACTGTAATAATGTGTTTATATGTTTGTCTCCCTAGGCTTAAGTTTTTTTATTACCTTGCTTCCTGATGATTTAAGATACAGTAACGCAAATGCAACCACTGCCATGGAGTCAGATCTGACTCACAGTGACCTCTCCTTGGGTTTCTGAGGCTGTATCACCATGGAAGTAGATTGCCCAACCTTCCTTCTGTGGACTGGCTGGTGGGTTTGAACCCCAGCCTTCTGATTAGCAGTCAAATGCCTCAGGCACTATGTCACCAGAGCTCCTTAAGATATGTTGTTGTTGTTGTTGTTGTTATGTGCCGTCGAGTCGGCCCCAACTCATAGCGACCCCTCCTTGGGTTTCCGAGGCAGTATCACTACAGAAGTAGGATTGCCCAACCTTCCTCCCGGGCCTTAAGATATAATAAGCACTAAATAAATGTTTCTTTCATGAAAGAAAGAACCTATAATAAAAAAAGGCAACAGATTTCTCTCAAAAAGCTGAGGAAGCATTCACATTTAAGCTTCAGAGGTTCTAATTCATTATGCTTTAAGAAACAATATTCATAAAAAAACAGCATTCATTTTATGAAATTAAAAATTTACCTTTATGTTTTCGTAAAAAATCAATGCTCTTCTGGAGAACAGTGGATTTGTCCATTTTTCTAGCATTACCAGGAAGCATGGATCCCAGTTCTTTAATGAGTACATTAAATTGATCTCTACGCTTCTTTTCAGATTTGTTTCTAGATACTCTGATGAAATGAGAAATTTTTAAAAGCAGTTTTACAACATTCCATTTAGTTACAGAAAGAGCTTAATACAATGCTCAATTTGAATATGACTACACAGCATGTACTTCTATCGATGGTGGTGTTGTATGCTGTGGAGTCAATTCCAACTCCTAGTTACCCCATAGGACAGGGTAGAACTGCTAGTAAGTATTTATTTCCTAGATCACAAAAATATGCAGTTAATTTGGGCAATAATTTTTCATTTCAATTTATCACTAAAGAGCCATTAATATACTAAGCATTTGGACATACATGCTTTTATAAAAATAGGAGCAAGACACATTGTATTCAAATCTCAAGTTTTATTTAATCCAAAATTCACCAAAGATTGAATTTTCTTTACAAGATTATTGCGAGCATTACTGAGATACTTTTTGTGAAAATATAAATTATTCAATGAAAAGAAAATCATCTAGCCAATATTAACTTTAAGTCATAAATAGAAGTCTGAAAATGAAACTCTCTCTAACCCCAGGCTTATCCACACATTCTTCCCCTTCAGACTCTATACTCCTATAGTAACCCAGCCTCCAACACAGAGCTGTAACCATTTGTTCATCTATCTGTCTCTCCATTAGGTTGTGGACTCCTTGAACAAATTATTTTATCAGGGCATTAAAGCACACCACCTAACAAACAGGAAGCACTCAAAATGTATATATTAAATGAATAATTACTGGTATTCTATGTAAGCAATATATATAAATCACAGATAGTAAAACAGGTATATTGTACTTTGTAAAATAGTTCTTTTTGAAAAATTATACAAGTATTTTGAATTATAATTAACTGAACTGTATTTCTA